GGGAGGGACTATGCACTTGGGAGTTATACCTGATGTAAATGACGAGTTTTGGTACAGCACAGCAACATGGCCACAAGTATACATATGTAACAAACCTGCACGTTATGCACATGTACCCTACAACTTAAAGTATAAATAAATAAGTAAATAATTAAAAAAAATTGGTAAGATAATCTAATATTTTAATGAGAAAGATATGGAATACTAGAAACATTTTTTTTAAAGAAGAACAAAGTTGAAGTCAGTGTTGTATTGGCAGTAGGATAGACATGTATATCAATGGAACAAAAGAATCCAGAAATAGTTACACTAAAGTTAAATAAACGTTTACTCAAGTGCCACTGTAATTCAATGGGAAAGAATGGTCTTTTCAACAAATGGTGCTGGAAAAACTGAATTATCTATGGAAAAAAAAAAATGAGCCTCAACTTCTACCTCGTGTCATAAAAACAAATATAATGTACCTGTTGAGTGACCGCTGTTGCTAAATTGCCCCCAGAACTGTCTCCTGAAATGCAGATTCGGGTGGGATCCACTCCATATTTTGTGAGAATTTTTTCCAGAAGAAAAAATTTGACTGCAGCAAGGCCATCTTCAAACTGAGCAGGAAAGTGGTGTTGAGGAGCTAGCCTATAACTTTATAGAAACAATAATAAAGCATTTACGGTTGTATCTGTCCATTTAATTCTCAAATACCAAATAGATGTAATTTTACGCCAGCCTTTCTTGTTCAGTGTTCTAAAAATCAAGCCTAAGTTTTCTACTAACTCTTGATTAAAATGAAAATTATTTTAATAAAGTATAAGGTCTTCAATCTTGTACCTAAAGTCCATGGATGGCATTATTTGTGAGGAGTCAGGGGAGTTTTATGAACTTCCTAAGAATTGTAAGCAAAATTTTTAGTCCAAGTGTGTTTTAGAATGGAGATGGTCTATGGCTTCCATCATATTCTCAATATAACTCGTCATCCAAACACTTTTTTATAACCCTTATTTAAAAAGCACAATGGATTGCAGATCTGAGAGCATATTGTAGGCAGTGTCGTAGTTTATCAAGGTCATTTAGGTAAAAGTTTTACAAGCTGACGGTGCATATACTTCATCATGGATAATATCCAGTAGTTATTACCAGATAAAAATTTTGAAATATAAATAAAATTTAAATATGCCAGAGAGCTTGCTTATTTCTGGTAAATCCATTTGTAAGGCAAATTATCACACAATTCTTTTCATGGGCACAAAGAGATTTTTCCTCCAGTATATGTAGACTGGTAAAACAGGAAAATACCTCTAGCAGCCTATTCGTAGAGCTTTTCCTTTTTGATCTTCAGAATGCTAAAGTGTGTATATTTCTATAGCCAATAGGAAGTGCTAGTAATAGGGTTCTTAGAATTTTATTATAAGCTATCTAGAAAACTCTAAGTAATTTGTAGCTTAGACATAGATGTGTACCAAAAAGATGTTGGTATCTTTATTTAAAATACAGTGGATTTATACTTTTTAGACAAAGAATGACACAAATGGTAGGGATTTGATAGAATGTATAAGCCAAGCACAAACTTATATTATTATATCAAAACAGATATAAAGTAGTATTTAGATTACTTCAAAAGCGATGAAATGAAACTTTTCTTGCCTGCTCAAATACAATCCAATATCCCAAATGTGTAATAGCTAATATACTTCCTTCTGTCCAGCTATGTTACTTGGGACACTACTAGAGCCTTATAGGACCTGAGTCTTACATGTCTAGAGCAAGTGTTTCCAAAACTGCTTACACTGGGGTATCATTCAGATATTCTGACAATCACAGAAAAATAATGGGACACTGAAACTCTTTGAGGAGCGGTCTATGATGCAAAAGGTGACAAGTAAAATATATTAATTTAAAAAATTATATTTGAAGCATAGCTGACTTGATGTGGGAATCAAACCTCTACATGGTAAAGGCAAAAATCATAGTAGCCACAAAAAAAAAAAAAAATTCTCTTACTCCACACCTACAACGACAGCATCAAGTGTGTTTGCAGTCCATCTATTCAGGAAGTCAAAAGCCCTCTGTTCTGAAATGAAGAAATAAACATCAAAGTATTTCCTGTAATTAGAAAGCAGTAGAAACAGTTACAGATATGAATGTGAAAATAACTGTGGTTTGTGAATATCACATGGGAGCTTTTATTTCCACCCCCTATTTCCAAGCAGATGGACCTGCATCCACATGGCACACTCTCCCGTTCCTAGTCTTTTCAGCCACTCTCTCCAGGGAGAAAAGGATGACTTTATTGATTATTTTGGGGAGGATAAACTAGAGTAGGTTCAGCCTATTGTAATTTCGTCTTGACATCTGCTGTCTGTACACAATGACCCTTCCCAGGACCCTTTGTATCCTGGTGCATTTTACTTCATCTGAAATAATGGTAATGTTTTGACTTGCATTTATGTGAACTCTGTAAGTTTTTAATTAGTTCAGAAGTCAGAGGAAAAAGAAAGTAATAGTATGTATTAAATCTCTAAACATGGTTCTTCAAAACCTCTGTCTTCTCTGAAGATGCCACATAATAAAATAGCCCAATAACATTGGCATTAAGACAGAGTCTAAGGAATAATAACCAGATATGAGAGAGCCTCTGGCAGGTCAGTGTGAAGACTTGATATACATATGAGTTTTGACATGCTTGACGTACAAGCCATTGACTTTCCCCAGACACATAACACACACACACACACACACCCCTTTCCCCAGGTCTCCACATATCCTATTTACCAGGGCCCTGGCCAAACACATTGGCAAATTCTGTGACATCTGCTCCTGCTTTATTTACCACAAGATCCTAGAAATCCAGAGAATTCTACAGTTGTGATCAAATTCCAGACTTTTCTGGACCTTCTCTTGCACATTAACAAAACTGCAAAGTAAAAACTAACCACTGGGTATATATATAACCTGGAACACAGGAAAGTAAGTCACCTAGTCTTTTAAATAGACAAAAATAACGTTTTCTTAAAGATTAAGTTAATTTTCTAGAAAAAGTCATGCATAGATAAAGACCAATATGTACAAGACCTAAGAACTCTCTGAACTTTACCGTGTTAACAAAAGACCATATTTTCTATTTTTTTAAAAAAATCTGCAGATTAGGGAGACACAGCCTTCCATGGAAAACAAAAGTGTGCTCCAGAGACCAAAAAGAGGGTCTGTGGCTTAAATATGGAGAATCAGCTGGCGCCCCTCAATCAGAATCAGATCTATATATGTAAATAAAGGATTCAAACTTATTCAAATGGTTCAAAACAGCTGATTCCTGATGGGGTGATTTCCAAGCCCCAAACTGAAAGTCTGTTAGATACCCCTTTCAAGCAACCGGTGGGAGGAGTTTTCTAGTCAAAGTGTTTCAGCTTGGAAACATCTTAGCTCAGAGGCACAAACAGAATGTTTGGATCTGCCTTCTCTGGGAGCAAAGGGATGTGTGACCACCCTTTTCTACTCATTATGGACACTGAGTTCTTAGTATCATAATTTGGGTATCTTTATCAGCCACAAGGAGTCCATTTCATCCAGAGAACTTGTGGTCTTATTTCCAGTTTCATTTCATAACCAACATTTTCCTGTACTTCTTAGTTCTCAAAGCAACTTTGATATGTTTTAGAGAAGAAAAAAGAGGAAGCCTGGGGGAAAAGAAAGATAATTAAAATTTGCAAATACTAGAAAATAGTTATAATGTCTTTTTTCTTGGTGAAAAAATAGAAAGTATCTAAGTCTTTTCCAGTTTATTCACATATGTTTGGGAGATCTGAAAACAAATAATGTGTAAATATAAAACCAAAATATTGAAAAAAGACATCTAGAATTTAGCTAAGCAGAATGTTGGAATGTCATATCCTGAATAATAATTCTCACAGTTTTAGAAATTATTGATCATGTCATTGCCTATTGTCTTTACATTGTGAAGTAATGTAAAGTAATTACAATTACTTTATAAAAGCAATAAAAAATTTATTTATAAAAAATAAAAGTAATTACAATTACTTTACATTGTCAGTAAAAAGAGATATAAACCTCATAATCAGGAATACTTTTTAGTATTTTTCAAAGTGATATTTTCCCATCGGTGGCCATTTCTTTTATGCTTACTCAAGTCCTAGGTAAACTTGGTATTTATCTTATCGAGAAAGCAGGTTATTCTGACCATTTTAATGCATGATATAAATTAAATTATAGATGAAATCTAATTTATTGAAAACATAAAGAAGGTAAAAAAATTCATAAAAGAAAAGAGTTAGAACATTCTGGATAATAATCCCTCTAGAGATCATCAGATGTCCCTCTCATTCACTCTGTGTGTACTATTTTTCTTCACAAAAACATTTATTGGATAATCACTGTATGAAAAATGCCTAAAAAGACAAGTAGGGAACTTAGACTTTATGGGAAGAGCTTACTATCACATAGTACTATTTTGTGCTTTCTTTTTAAAGTCAATACTAATGACTGCATTCTAAGTCTTACTACTGTTTATATTATGTTATCAATAACTGCAAACTTGATCTTGTAGCAACCAATAGCAAATGCTTTTGACTGTTAATTAAAACATCTGCATCCCCTCAATGTTTCTGCTCCAAATTCAGATCCCAAGAAAAAAAGTTTTAGTAATTGACTTTATATCCTATTTTCATTTGATATATATTCATTCAATATGAAAGCTAAGGATAATAAAAAACAAAACAAAACAAAACTGAATTTAAAATCCCCTTTGCCAAACATATGTCTATGTCTCTTTATTAGATATCTAACATTTATATCTATACTTATCCATATCCAGACAAATATATATAGATGTATATATCAGTATAAGTGTGTATATTTATATAAAATAGTTCTTATATCAAAAACGTAGAGCTAGCTACACTTTTTCCTTACACAGTGAACTTACTGGAACTTCCAAAACAAAAACCACCACCATGAAAATATATTACAGCTCGCCTTCGGATCTCTGACTTTCTTTTTGGCAAGTACAATCGTACTGGAATATCAACAAATGTTGTATCAGTCACTGTGATGTATTCATCTGAAAGTGGTTGGGTATAATCCAGCTTGAATATCATGGATATAAACTCTTCATATCTCATAATACCCATATTTTCAAAACACATAGCCTGTAAGAACAAAACAAACAAAATTAAATATTTAGATATGTAAATAACACCAAATATATATAAAAAGAAGGTTAAAAAGGAAGAAAAAATAAGCAAAGTAAACAAAAAGAAATAGACTATTTATAAATATTATTTCCAAATAATACTGTAAAGATCTTATTGCATAATCTTCTTGCCCTTGAAAATCTCAAATATCTGGCAAGCTGGCCGAATAGGAACAGCTGCGGTCTGCAGCTCCCAGTGAGAGCAATGCAGAAGGCAGGTGATTTCTGCATTTCCAACTGAGGCACCCAGTTCATCTCATTGGGATTGGTTAGGCAGTGGGTGTAGCCCACAGAGGGCGAGCAGAAGCAGGGTGGGGCACTGCTTCACCCAGGAAGTGCAAGGAGCCAGGAGGCCTCCTTCCCCCAGCCAAGGGAAGCCATTGAAGGACTGTTCCACCCAGCTGAGATACTATGCTTTTCCATGGTTTTTGCAATCTTCAGATCAGGAGATTCTCTCGTGTGCCTACAACACCAAGGCCCTGGATTTTAAGCAAAACTTGGGTAGCAGTTTGGGCAGACATGGAGCTAGCTGCAGAAGTTTCTTCTGTACCCCAGTGGTGCTTGGAGCTCCAGTGAGACAGAACTCTTTACTCCCCTGGAAAGGAGGCTGAAGCCAGAGAGCCAAGAGGTCTCGATCAGAGGGTTCCACTCCTGTGGAGCCCAGCAAGCTAAGATCCACTGGCTTGAAATCCTCACTGCCAGCACAGCAGTCTGAAGTCAACTTGGGATGATCTAACTTGGTGTGGGGAGAAGGGTCTACCATTACTGAAGCTTGAGTAGGTGGTTTTCCCCTGACCCTGCTAAGGAGGCTGGGAGGTTGGACTGGGTGGAATTCAGCACCACGTAGCAAAGTGTCTGTGGCCAGAATGCCTCTCTAGGTTCCTCCTCACTTGGCAGGGCATATCTGAAAGAAAGGCAGCAACCCTGGTCAGAGGCTTACAGATAAAACTCCCATCTTCCTGAGACAGAGCACCTGGGGGAAGGGGACGCTGTGGGCGCAGCTTCAGCAGACTTAAACTTTCCCGCCTGCTGACTCTGAAGAGAGTAGCTGATCCTGAGAAGGAGGAGTCTCCCAACACAGTGCTTGATCTCTGCTAAGGGACAGACTGTCTCCTCAAATGCGTCCTTGACCCCTGTGCCTCCTGACAGGGAGACATCTCCCAGCAAGGGTCAACAGACACCTCATACAGGAGAGCTCTGGCTGGCATCAGGATGGTGCCCCTCTGGGATGAAGCTTCCAGAGGAAGGAGCAAGCAGCAATCTTTGCTGTTCTGCAGCCACCACTGGTGATACCCAGGCAAACAGGGTCTGGAGTGGACCTCCAGCAAACTGCAATAGACCTGCAGAAGAGGAGCCTAACTGTTAGAAGAAAAACTGACAAACAAAAAGCAACAACATCAACATCAACAAAAAGGACCCCCACACAAAAAACCCGTCCAGAGGTCATCAGCCTCAAAGATCAAAGGTAGATAAGTCCATGAAAATGAGGAAAAACCAGCCCAGAAATGCTGAAAATTTCAAAGACCAGAATGACTCTTTTCCAGATGATCGCAACTCCTCTCCAGCAAGGGCACAAACGTAGATGGAGAATGAGATTGACGAATTGACAGAAGTAGGATTTGGAAGGTGGGTAATAACAAGCTCCTCTGAGCTAAAGGAGCATGTTCTACCCCAGTGCAAGGAAACTAAGAACGTTAATAAAAGGTTATGGGAACTGCTAACTAGAATAACCAGTTTAGAGAAGAACATAAATGACCAGATGGAGCTGAAAAACACAGCACAAGAACTTTGTGAGGCATATACAAGTATCAATAGCTGAATCAATCGAGTGGAAGAAAAGAGATCAGAGACTGAAGATCAACTCAATGAAATAAAGTGTGAAGACAAGATTAGGGGAAAAAAAGAATGAAAAGGAACAAACAAAGCCTCCAAGAAATGTGGAACAATGTGAAAAGACCAAACTTACGTTAGATTGTTGCACCTGAAAATGACAAGGAGAATGGAATCAAGTTGGAAAACACACCTCAGGATATTATCCAGGAGAACTTCCCCAGTATAGCAAGACAGGCCAATATTCAAATTCAGGAAATACAGAGAACACTGTTAAGATACTCCTTGAGAAGAGCAACTCCATGACACATAATCATCAGATCCTCTAAGATTAAAACAGAGGAAAAATGTTAAGAGCAGCCAGAGAGAAAGATCAGGTTATCTACAAAGGGAGGCCCATCAGACTAACAGTGGATCTCTCTGCAGAAACTCTACAAGCCACAAGAGAGTGGGGACAAATATTCAATATTCTTAAAGAAAAGAATTTTCAACCCAGAATTTCATATCCAGTCAAACTAAGTTTCATAAGCAAAGGAGAAATAAAAACTTTTCCAGACATGCAAATGCTGAGGGATTTTGTTGCCACCAGGCCTGCCTTACAAAAGGAAATATGGAGGAAATATGGAAAGGAAAAAAATATGGAAAGAAAATAAATATGGAAAAGAAAAAGTGGTACCAGCCACTGAAAAAGCACACCAAAATATAAAGACCAATGACACTCTGAAGAAATTGCATTGACTAATGTGCAAAATAACCAGCTAGCATTAGGATGACAGGATCAAATTCACACATAACAATGTTTACCTTAAATGTAAATGAGTTAATGGCCCTATTAAAAGACACAGGCTAGCAAATTGGATAAGGAGTCAAGACTCATTAGTGTGCTGTATTCAGGAGACCCATCTCACATTGAAAGACACACATAGGCTCAAAATAAAGGGATGAAGGAAGATTTACCAAGCAAATGGAAAGAAGAAAAAAAAAAAAAGCAAGTGTTGCAAACCTAGTCTCTGATAAAACAGACTTTATACCAACAAAGATCAAAGAAGACAAAGAAGGACATTACATAATGGTAAAGGTACCAAGGCAACAAGAAGAGCTAACTATCCTAAATATATATGCATCCAATATAGGAGCACCAGGTTTCATAAAACAAATTATTAAAGACCTTCAAAGAGACTTAGACTCCTACACAATAGTAGTGGGAGATCTTAACATCCCACTGTCAATATTAGACAGATCAATGAGACAGAAAATTAACAAGGATACTCAGGACTTGCACTCAGTTCTGGACCAAGTGGACCTAGTAGTCATCTACAGAACTCTCCACCCCAAATCAACAGAACATACATTCTTCTCAGCAGCACATAGCACTTTTTCTAATATCGACCACATAGTTGGAAGTAAAACACTCCTCAGCAAATGCAAAAGAATGAAAATCATCAAAAACAGTCTCTTGGACCACAGCACAATCAAATTAGAACTCAGGATTAGGAAACTCACTCAAAATCGCAGAACTACATGAAAGTTGAACAACCTGCTCCTGAATGACTACTGGGTAAATAACTAAATTAAGGCAGAAATAACAAAGTTCTTTGAAACCAGTGAGAATGAAGAGACAATGTACCAGAACCTCTGGGACGCAACTAAAGCAGTGTTAAGAGGGAAATTTATACCACTAAATGGCCACATCAGAAAGCTATAGGTCTGAAATAGACACCCAAACATCGCAATTAAAAGAACTTGAGAAGCAAGAGCAAACAAATTCAATTTTTGAAAAGATTAACAAACTAGATAGACCACTGGCTAGACTAATAAAGAAGAAAAGGGAGAAGAATCAAATTGACACAATAAAAAATGATAAAGGGGATATCACCACTGATCCCACAGAAATACGAGCAAGCATCAGAGAATACTATAAACACCTCTATGCAAATAAACTAGAAATTCTAGAAGAAATGGATAAATTCCTGGACACATACACCCTCCCAAGACTAAACCAGGATGACATCAAATCCCTGAATGGATCAACAACAAGTTCTGAAATTGAGGCAGTAATTAATAGCCTACCAACCAAAAAAAGCCCAGGATCAGACATATTCACAGCCAAATTCTACCCGAGGTACAAAGAAGAGCTGATACCATACCTTCTGAAATTATTCCAAGCAATAGAAAAACACGACTCCTCCCTAACTAATTTTATGAGGCTGGCTTCATCCTGATACAAAAACCTGGCAGAGACACACACAAAAAAATTTCAGGCCAATATCCCTGATGAACATAAATGCGAAAATACACCATAAAATATGGGCAAACCAAATCCAGTAGCACATCAAAAAGCTTATCCACCACGATCAAGTAGGCTTCATCCCTGAGATGCAAGACTGCTTCAACCTATGCAAATCAATAAACATAATGCATCACATAAACAGAACCAATGACAAAAAATTCAATCGATGTAGAAAAGACTTTCTATAAAATTCAACATCCTTTCATGCTAAAAACTTTCAATAAACTAGGTATTGATGGAACATATCTCAAAACAATAAGAGCCATTTCTGACAAACCCATAGCCAATATCATACTGAATGGGCAAAAGCGGGAACCATTCTCTTTGAAAACTGGCAAAAGACAAGGATATGCTCTCTCACCACTCCTATTCAACACAATATTGGAAGCTCTGGCCAGGGCAATAAAGAAATAAAGCATATACCGATAGTAAGAAAGGAAGTCAAATAGTCTGTTTGCAGATGACATGGTTGTATATTTAGAAAATCGCATCGTCTCAGCCCTAAAACTCCTTAAGCTGATAAACAATTTCAGCAAAGCAATATGCAAAATCAATCAATGTGCAAAAATCACAAGCATTCCTATACACCAGTAATAGACAAGCAGAGAGCCAAATCATGAGTCAACTTCCATTCACAATTGCTACAAAGAGAATAAAATACCTAGGAATACAACTTACATGAATTATGAAGAACCTCTTCAAGGAGAACTACAAACCTCTGCTCAAGGAAATAAGAGAGGACACACACAAATGGGAAAACAAATTCCATGCTCGTAGATAAGAAGAATCAATATCATGGAAATGGCCATATTGCTCAAAGTAACTTATAGATTCAATGCTATTCCATTAAGCTACCATCGACTTTCTTTGCAGAATTATAAAAAACTACTTTAAATTTTATGTGGAACCAAAAAAGAACCTGTATAGACAAGACAATTCTAAGCAAAAAGAACAAAACAGGAGGCATCATACTACCTGACTTCAAAGTATACTACAAGCCTACAGTAACCAAAACAGCATGGTACTGGTACCAAAACAGACATATAGACTAATGGAACAAAACAGAGCCCTCAGAAATAACACCACACATCCACAACCATCTGATCTTGGACAAACCTGACAAAAACAAGCAATGGGGAAAGGACTCTCTATTTAAAAAATGGTGCTGGGAGAACTGGCTAGCCATATGTAGAAAGCTTATCCTTATACCTTATACAAAAATTAACTCAAGATGGATTAAAGACTTTAATGTAAGACCTAAAACCATAAAATCCCTAGAAGAAAACTTAGGCAATACCATTCAGGACATAGGCATGGGCAAAGACTTCATGACTAAATCACCAAAAGCAGCTGCAACAAAAGCCAAAATTGACAAATAGGATCTAATCAAACTAAAGAGCTTCTGCACAGAAGAAGAAACTATCATCTGAGTGAACAGGCAACCTACAGAATGGGAGAACATTTTTGCAATCTACCCATCTGACAAAGGTGGAATCTATGAGGAACTTAAACAAATTTGCAAGAATAAAACAAACCATCAAATAGTGGGCAAAGGATATGAACAGCCACTTCTCAAAAGAACAAATTTATGCAGCCAACAAACACAAGAAAAAATGCTCATCATTACTGGTCATCAGAGAAATGCAAATCAAAACCACAATGAGATATCATCTCACACCAGTTAGAATAGTGATCATTAAAAAGTCAGGAGACAATAGAAGCTGGCGCGGATGCAGAGAAATAGGAACACTTTTACTCTGTTGGTGGGAGTGTAAATTAGTTCAACCATTGTGAAATACAGTGTGACGATTCCTCAGTGATCTTTAATCAGAAATATCATTTGACCCAGCAATCCAATTACTGGCAATATACCAAAAGGATTATGAATATATCAACTGTAAAGACCCATGGACACTTAATGTTTATTGCACCACTATTCACAATAACAAAGGCTTGGAACCAACCCAAATGCCCATCAATGATAGAATAGATAAAGCAAATGTGGCACATATACACCATGAAATACTATGCAACCATAAAAAGAAATGAGTTCATGTCCATTGTAGGGACACGGATGGAGCTGGAAGCCATCATTCTCAGCAAACTAAAACAGGAACAGAAAACCAAACATCGCATGTTCTCACTCATAAGTGGGAGCTGAACGATGATAACACATGGGCACAGGGAGGGGAACATCATGCACCAGGGCCTGTAGGGAGGTGGGGGGAAAGGGGAGTGAGAGCATTAGGACAAATACTTAAGGTATGCAGGGCTTAAAACCTAGATGACAAGTTGATAGGTGCAGCAAACCACGATGGCACGTGTATACCTATGTAACAAACCTGCACGTTCTGCACATGTATCCCAGAACTTGAAGTGAAAAAAAAAAAAAAAAAAAAAAAAAAAGATAAATCCTTGTGTATAAAAAGAAGAAAATCTCAAATATTTAGTATTTTAGGCTGAGAGCTGTCCTATTCAAAATCCATTAATTTACTAGTAGTTTTTTTATGCTGCTGTAATTATTTTTGATTTGTAATTATTTTTCAGGGAAAAAAAACCCATTTTGTAGGCATGCTGTCATGTTTTCTTTCTTCATTGTTCATTTTATTTAATTCAAAGTTTTAAATATTGTCATATGACCACACTAGTAATAATCCAAATTTTTTGGCTTTCAATGCCAAAAAGATTAGTGCACTTTTCTCACCCTTAAATTCCATATTTGAGGTCCTTGAAAAAAGTTGCCTTTGGTATTTCTGACCAGCTTTTCCAGGACTTTTGTGTTATGTCACTGGACAGTTTACTCATAAAAAAATCTTAAAAATTACATGGTTGATAACACAGTAAACAATATTAATTATTATAATTATTCCAAGGAAATTAAGGTATTTGCAATTGAGAACATCTAGCCACTATACTTTATTTTCTTAATTTTAATTTAATTTTTTTTTTTTTTGAGATGGGATCTTGCTCTGTCATCCAGGCTGAAGTGCAGTGGCATAACCTAGGCTCACTGCAACCTCCGCCTCCTGGATTCAAGTGATTCTCCTGCCTCTGCCTCCCCAGTAGCTGGGATTACAGGCGTGCGCCACCAGAGCTGGCTAATTTTTATATGTTTAGTACAGATGGGGTTTCCCCATGTTGACCAGGCTGGTCTTGAACTCCTAGCCTCAGGTGATCCACCTGCCTTGGCCTCCCAAAGTACTGAAATTACAATCGTGAGCCATCGTGCTAACCCCTATACTTTAGTGACCAGGAAGTATGCAGAAACTCTAAGTTGTAGCCAGTAAATGTCAAAGCCAAGTTTGCATCCATTTAAACCAGTATCTTATGCTACTGCTTACTAGCTGATTGACATTAAGAAAATTACTTTCTGTAGCTCAATTTCCTTGTCTATATGATAGTAATAATAATAAATCCTTCAGTGGGCTATAGTGGAGTTTAAACAAGTTAATGGTCTGCGATACAAATGAGATAATCAAGGAAGGAAAGATAGCATTTTCTCTGTGGAACTGACACTTGCTTACCCACATGTGCTTACTCAGGAAGTAGGAGTATTGGAGAAAAGTTATGGAGAAGGTAAGACTCTAGAAGTGATTACAAGGGAAAATATTAGCAGATATCAGAAGGAGCTGACTGTGGTTTCACAAAACAAATGTATTGTTTGCTGTACAAAGCATCAAAAGACAGCCTTTCCTTCTTAGACCATGGATTGCTCGCTTTTTTCTGATCATCTTCTGCTGTTGCCTTCTCCTTTGAGCCTCTTATTGTTACCCTTTCTGGAAGCTATCTGGCTTGGCAGAAAGAGTATGGGTTTCAAAATGAGACAGTTTAGAGTTCAAATTATGGAGCTGTTACTTTTTACCTGCAGGTGCTCTTCCCAATCTCTTCCCCCACCCCATAACTAGATAAAAATAATTACAGGATATTGGGAAATCAATGGAAGTACATATTATACAAAGCCTACACAATTTAAGAACTCAAAAATATTAGTTTCTAATCCTATCTCTTCCTTTTAAAGGAACTATTTTTGCATGAATTTATAATTAATTCTGCACATGCCCAGTCAGATAATCCCTGAAAACCAGCAATTTAGAATTGAAGATGGACAATTAAAGCCATTAAATAGTAAGAGCCTTAAATTAATATCAATGAGTTACAAATATCAATAATGTATATCTGAACAGCTAAAAGATAATTATGGGACTAGGTTGTTCCTGAAAGTTCAAATTTAAGTCAAATTCTCAAACAAACCTCAAAGCCATTTATTTTATACATGTCACAATAAATTTATTGTATACATGTCACATTTAGACATAAAGTCTTAGAAGTGAGAATTCTGTCTCATTGTTTCGCACAGATGTAGGAAGTTTTATTTACTTAATATTATTTAATTAATTTACTCAAGCAATGGTTCTTTCAAAATGGTGATATTAATACTATTAATAAAAGAGTTCATAAGCATCCATTTTTCATCAATAAGTCATCCCAATATCGAACAGAAAAAAATGTTAACCTTACCGTAAATGTACAAGTTTTAGCGATGGCATCCAAGGCCATTATTTTCCAGCTTTCTTCAATGTTGTCTGGCATGGGTGTGTAAAAATGAGAGACAAAAATAACACAGAGCAGTCCCAAACAGAGAGCTTTTAGCATCATAATATCCCTTTTTCCAGCTTCTTCACAGTACTGACATTAAAATTTTTCATAAACACTGAATAGTAACCAGTAGAGCAAATGTAGACTTGGGAACTCTCTCAGGTAATGTGATCATCTTAACAACATGAAGCTAATTTTCAATTCAAATATTACAGTGTCACTAGTAACTTGTTTTGCAAGCACACAGACTGGAACAGATGTCATAATTCATCAGGGTGTGCATGCATTATTATCATGCAATTTAATGCTCTTACAGTGTTTCTTCGTCCTGTGATACCATCATCAGCCCAAAACAACTTTATTATTGAGACTTAAATCAGAACCTAAATGAAAGCACTGAATAAGTCATGAAGCAAATTTTAGTGGTTGGGTGGTGGTTGCAACAGGTTTTAAAAACAGGTTTTTGTTTTGTTTTGTTTTTTGTTTTTTAAGTTTGCTGATATTATGTCAAAATCCAGGCTAATGCCATTATCATGGGTTATTAACCATGTTAACAAAACTTTCTTGTGGTGGAACAAGTTTTGGATTAAAAAACAAGGGATGAGGGGGCTTGTTCGAGTTCTGGTAAGCATCAAACTGGAATTTTTCCATAGACTAAGCCAGGAAGCTCAGCGCAATTATCTGTTTTTTTAGAGGATTACATAGTATGATGATGAACTTTATGTGTCAATTTGACTGAGCTAAGGGATGCTCGTTAATAGTAAATAGCTCGTAAAAAAAGAATTTCTTGGTATGTCTTTGAGAGTGTTTCTGGAAAAGATTAGCATTTGAACTGGCAGAGTGAATGAAGAAAATCACCCTCCCCAATGTGGGTAGGCAGAATCCAATCTACTGATGGCCTGAACAGACCAGTATGTGGAGGAAAGGTAAATTCACTCTCTTCTTGGGCTGGGACATTGTTGTAACTCTAATTCATATTAGTGCTGCCTCAGCACCACCTTCTTGGTCTGTGCTCGGCTTGTCACAAATGACCTACATATTTTGAGACAGTCTCCACCCAGTTTCTGTTTTTGTTTCTAGATAGATAAGGCCCCATTTGCTGCCTTACATCTGCTTTAATTCCGGTAAACACAATCATGTAACCCAAGTTCTCACAGTTAAACTCATGCTTCCTTCAAATTAAATCCAACTCTGTTGTGGAAAACCCACCTAGGTCATCCTGAACCCCAATAAAGGGTTCTACCCATAGGTCCCTCCATCTCTCGCTTGCTTTTCACCTGCTGGTTGAGAGACAGTATCCTTGACTGCCTCCCCCTTTCCATTGGCTCTGCGGGACATTTTACCCTCCTCTTTCTGGAAACTGCAAGTAAATAAACTTCATCTTTTTGACATTCCAGTCTAAATGTCCTCATTATGCTGCACCTGACTACACCAAACCTAACTTAAACTCTTCTTTACTTAACAAAGCACAACAGACATTCATCTTCTCCTGCCCTTGGATATCAGAGTTCCTAGTTCCTAGGCCTTTAGACTCTGGGACTCACACCAGACACCACCTCCCTGCTCCCAGTTCTCAGTTCTTCAGACTCAGACTGGTTTTATAGAACATTAACTTTCCTGGTTCAGGTTCTCCATCTTATACACAGCATACTGTGGGACTTCCTTGCCTAAATAATTGTGGGGGCCAATTTATACTTTATATATATTTTATATATATATATAAAATATATACACACACATACATACACACTAATATATGGATAAACACAAGCACATATTTATATATCATAAATATATTATTAACATATAAATTTATATATCATAAATATATTATTAACATATAAATTTATATATCATAAATATATATAAATGTGTGTGTATCTATACATGTTATGATACAATAGATAATAGATATATAGATGTATATAGATATATAGATGTATATATAGATATGGAGATATAAATATATGATAGATATCTATACATAGTTATATAGGTATATCCGTGTGTGTGTGTGCATGTGTATATCATCTATCTATCTATCTATCTATCTATCTATCTATCTATCTATCTATCTATCTCCTGTTGGTTCTATTCCTTTAGAGAACCCTGACTAATACATATAGTGACTTTGTTCATGTGTTTCAGTGGTAAATCTTTAGGACTAATTCACATGAATAATTTAGCCTAGGGTGGCAGAGAACATCAAATGCAAATGTTGGACTTGTGCCTGCTGCAACCTGACAGCCTGAGAGAGATCCTGTCCACATTAGAGCTGATCACCTGAAAATTCGTCAGAGATACAAGGACTACTAGAGATTTTCTCTCTGATGTGTCAGGACATAGTAAATAGTAAGTACAGGATTGATACTTATGGGAAGTAATTTTTAGTAATAGAATACACTCATATCAGAGGTCCAATGTATACTTTTAATGATATAAGTATATATATCATTTTACTGACATAAGTAAACGTCATAAGTATATATATATATCATATATATCATTAAAGGTATATATTGGACCTCTTTAGTGCATGAGTATTAACTCCAAAGTCTATCAAAATTGAATTATTTAAACATTTATTTTTATTCACCTATATTTTAGGCTTCTCTGAATTCCTTAGTTATAACTCAATATAGTCTATCATTTAAAGAAGAACACTATTAAAGGTGACACTACTATTAAAAATAATGTTCATGGCTGGGCGCGGTGGCTCAAGCCTGTAATCCCAGCACTTTGGGAGGCCGAGACGGGCGGATCACAAGGTCAGGAGATCGAGACCATCCTGGCTAACACGGTGAAACCCCGTCTCTACTAAAAAATACAAAAACCTAGCCGGGTGAGGTGGCGGGCGTCTGTAGTCCCAGCTACTCGGGAGGCTGAGGCAGGAGAAGGGCGTGAACCCGGGAAGCGGAGCTTGCAGTGAGCTGAGATCCGGCCACTGCACTCCAGTCGGGGCGACAAAGCGAGACTCTGTCTCAACAACAACAACAAAAATAATAATAATAATAATAATAATAATAATAATAATAATAATGTTCATATATTGGAACTGTCCTGGACAAAATGGGACTTATCATCTGAGCCTAATTATAAAGCTTTAATTTAATTCATTTGTGTGCCTCCCTTTTTAAGTAGACAGTAAGATTATTAAAGGAAGACACCCTAATTTTTTTATCCTTGCAACCCCTAAGTGCTCAAAGCTGTGCATGTAGCAGTGCTTAATAAACATTTAAAATAAATTAAAGGATGGCCTAGTTAATTGGTTAATTGATGCCTAAAGATAGTAGGAAAGGGAAATTCTCAAATCCAACAACAGCAATGGTATCTGGAAAGTAACTTTAGGAAGGGTCAGTTATGGCCAAAACTAAGGGAGGAATAGAGGTAAGGTAAAGATAGCAAGACTTCTGCCTTCACACACATCACACATACACATACATAAATGAACAGAAATAAGCATTGTGGAAGAAAGAGAAATAATGTTTGATTTGCCCTTTTGTGGCTTTTGGTGTGTGGAGTTCTGAAGCACCATGCAAACAGTTCAGGACAGTGTGCTTATTTGAGCTTCACAAATTTTCACCACACAGTGTCATAATCTATGACTAATATCTATGGAGTCTTGGATGCCCCTTCCCACAGCTTAGTTCTATGAAGTTCAGACAACCTCAAACACTTTTATAGCAAGTAGTATTTTCTTCATTTCCTCTGAGATAAAATCCAACAAATTCCTCAATAGGACGGTGTATGTTTCTGATCATCTTCACAGCATCTCTCCTTTTATCCTATACTTTAGGTTGACCCCAGCAGTTGCCGGAAATGATTGTATAACAACAACAACAACAAACCAATAAGGCTTCTAGAGCTCTTGTCACATCTCTCCTCCTAGAATAAACCACTCAATTTCTCTGATCCCATCTCCTTGTCAAACATTCATTTTTCCTTTTAATTTTCAGTTCAATTCCTTCTACGTTGCTTTTTGTGATCCCTAAGAGGTAGAGTTGATCAATTTATCTTTATCTCCCCCTAAAGAAGTGCAAATTATAGTATGAGTAACACCGAACTGAACTTACATAGTGGGTATGAATCTTCTTCTTTTAATGATATGTGCAGGACACATACATACAAATATTTCTTTTAAATGTTGCTATACACTGAATGTTTATGCCCCACCCCCAAAATCTATATGTTGAAATCCTAACCACTTTCAAGAATGAATAAAACAACCAGATAGAAGATACATGAAGGAACAGAAAACTTTAACTACACAATAAACTGACTACACCTAACACACACATATATATAGAACACTCCACCCAACAACCACAAAATACACATTACTTCAAGTGCACATGGGATATTCTCCAAGATAGACTATATATTAGGCCACATAACAGGTCTTAATAGATTTTTTAAAATATAGTAGCTTATCATGAAAAGTATTTTTCTATGATCAAAATGGTGTAGTTAGAAATTAATAACAAAACGAACACAGGAAAATTCACAAATATGTGGAAATTAAACATATTTTATTTCTATTTATTTTTTATTTTTGTAGACAAGGTCTTGCCTTATTGCCCAGCCTGCAGTGCTGTAGTGCAATCATAGCTCACTGCAGTCTCAAACTCCTGGGCTCAAGCAATCCTCCTGCCTCAGCCTCCTGAGTAGCTAAGACTACAGGTGTGTGCTACTACACCCAATTAATTTTTTAATTTTCTGTACGGACAGGATATACCTATATTGTCCAGGCTGGTTGCAAACTCCTGGCCTCAAGCAATCCTCCCACTTGGCCTCTCGAAGTGCTGGCATTACAGGCATGAGCCACTGCACTCAGACTAAACAACACACTTTTAAACAACCAAGAGATCAGAGAAAAAAAAAAATCATAAGGAAAATTAGAGAATACAAAGAGATGAATGAAAACAAAACCACAACACACCAAAACTTATGAGTTGCAGCAGAGCAGTGCTAAGAGGGAAATTTATAGCTGAAAATGCAATAAAAAAAAAAAAAAAGCAAAAAGAAAAGGAAAGAAAAAAGAAAGAAAAAGAAAAATCTCAAGTCAACAACCTAAATTTACACCTTAAGGAACTGGCAGTGGGGGAAGCAAATCAAGCTCAAAGCTAGCAGAAATAACAAATAGTAAAGATTACAATGTGAATTTTAAAAAGAGAGAATAG